TACTTTGTAAATTTCTCTATAAATAGAGTGAGGAGATAAATTCGCTGGAAAATAATATCGAATTTTTTACAGGTTTATTATGAGCTCCTTCCCATAATTTAGATTAAAATTTAATTTGACCTTCAAACTCTATCACCAAATTCCGCCACTGTCCCTATCCCTTCGATCTCGCCCAGCGAGAGCTTAAGCGTTATCCAAGTACGTTCCATGGCCTTGTCCCTACCCAGTGGTGGAAGGGCCATGGCCCCCCAACATTTTAAAAATTATAATATAAACCCTTACTTTTTTTAAAAAAATAGTTTGGTCCCCATAAATTTTTTAGAAATTTAGATTAAATTTTAATATTTTTGAATGTTCTTGATTAAACTCCTTCCTATAATTTAGATTAAAATTTAATTTGACCTTCAAACTCTATCACCATGTTCCACCACCGTCCCTTTCCCTTCGATCTCGTCCAGCGAGAGCTTAAGCGTTATCCAAGTATGTTCCATGGCCTTGTGTGGAATTTCCGGTTATTTGCAATTATGTTGTTTTGTTACTTATTTTTGTGTGGTTTCTTTTTTCAAATTCATTTTTGTGTTTTGTATTCAACACATATTTTAACATAAATGTTATATATATTTAAATTATCATGTAAAGAAAATTTACTAATTAGATGGTCAAGTTAATATGAATCGAGTAATAGATTTTAGGATAAAGTAACAAATGGTCCCTCGACTATAGGTATTATTTTATTGAATCTCTAATTCTTAAAAGTTACAAAATGATCATCATTTATAGGGTGTTAATTTGTTGAGTTTCTTGACTATTAAAAGTTATTAAATGATAACCCAACTATTTATATGTTACAAACTCATCATTTTTTGTTGAAAAATTGATAATACTCTGAGCTAGATGTTAACATGTTGACCGAGATATGATAAAATCTAACCCCCATAATCTCTATCGCATCCCAGTCAACATGTTTGGAACACGTGAATAGTCAGATGACTATTTCAGATATTGTATTCCGGATTGTCTTCATTTTTTAACAGAAAATGACGAGTTTGGAACATGTGAATAAATAGTCATAGGGACTATTTTGTACTTTTAATAGTCGAGAAACTTAACAAAGCAACGTCTTATAATCGAAAGACCATTTTGTAACTTTTAATAATAGAAAAATTCAATAAAACATCTTATAATCGGGTAACAATTTTTAAATCGATTACAATTTTAGAATTATTTCGAGTTTAGAACATTTTGAATTTAAGTTGTTATGTTTTCTTTTTGGTCATTATGGGTTTAGATCAATTTATATTTTAGTACTTCGAGCTCGACTTATTTCATACTTAAATTAGATTGTTTCGTGTTTGAGTCAGTTTCGGGTTTAAATTAAAGAGTTAATTGTATTACACATCCTTAAATTATATATCTCAATTTAAATTGGCCTTTGTACATTTAAACATTTTAATTTCATTCTCATTCTATGACTCTCATTATAAATCGGTCTTCAAACTTTTAAACATTCTAAATTCACCCCTAAACTACGATTCCCATTTTATATTGATCCCCAAACTTTTAAATATTCTAATTTCATCCTTGAACTTTTGAATGATTTAGGAGACATTATTGGGACATTAAAAATATGGGGACCAATTTAGAATGATGGTTATAGTTTGGGGATGAATTTGGAATGTTTAAAAGATTAGGGACAAATTTAGAATAAAAATCATAATTTAGAGATAAAATTAGAATATTCAAGACTTTAAGAATCGATTTAAAATGAGATTCATAATTTGAGGATGTATGGTGCATCAAATCTAATTCGAATGTGTTTAAGTTGCTATTTTTATGTTCATGTCAGATTGGGTCTTGTTTAAAATTAGGTTGATTAGATTGAACTCTCATGTCCGGTTTATTTTTTTAATAGTATAAGATGATTATAAAATAGCGTTTGTTTAAATTTTTTCTTAACTTATTGATAATACACACATAGTACAAACGTAATTACTTTAACCCGAATTGTCTAATTTAAAATTGACGTTTAGGATATAATCCTCCAAAATCTTAAAATACATAAAGAAAAACTAAAAAGACCGGACATTCCCCTATTAGACTAGTACTCGAGATCGATATATTTACATCCAAATTCGAATAATATAGTGTTTTTTTTTTAATTTTGAACATTATGATTTTATCCTCAAATTATGACTTTTGTTCTAAATTGGTCCTTAAACTTTTAAAAACTTCAAATTCATCCCCAAACAATGACCCTCATTCTATATTGATTGTCAAACTTTTGAATGTTCTAATTTCATTCCCAAATCTTTGAATAATCTTGGGGGAATTACTGGAATATTCAAAAGTTTAGGGGCTAATTTAGAATCAGGGTTATAGTTTAGGGATGAATTTAGAATTCCAAAAGTTTAGAGAGTAATTTAGAATAAGATCATAATTTGGGGACATATAGTGCAATTAATTTTTTAAACCAATAGTCATCTATTAAACAAGTTAATTTGTTTTTTTTTTATAAAAAAGATTGTGTCAAGAATACTTTAAAATACCGATTTATTCCCATACAATTTTGAAAATGATCAATTAAGGACAATTAACAATGTCGTTTTTTATTAAATCTATTGAGTGGCCTCGGAAGTAATAGAGAGTGTTGTTCTTCCTAAACATCTTAAGTTTGAGTAGCTACATTTGGAGAGCGTATTTGCATTATCAACAACTAAGAAATATTCTAAATAAATACTACCTTGTAATCATCCTATACTATCAAAAAATAATATTGTTTTTAGTCAATTTTATATATTTCGATTAGCATAACAATAAATTTAGTCCTAAAATTTTATACATCATATCAATTTTTACCTAAATGAAAATTTAATAAATTTAGCCTTACTTTTTCAGTCTCGGGTATTCTTTTTCTTCCACTTAGGATTAGGGAGGTTTTTTAACAATGTTGAGCCGATGACCGTTTTGTATTAAATCCACTTCATTAATACAAAACAATCTTTAAAAAAAAAACAAATTTAGCCTTAAGCATTTATAGAAGGTATACAATTTAACCTTCAACAATTACAAAATGTATAAAATATGTGTTAATTTTTTTTTGTAATTAATATCTTTTAATTGTAGGTTTTCAACCTTAATTTTTCTTTTTCTTTTACCGGCGTTAGTTTTTTTTCTTCCTTTTTATGTTTGTAATCATCGTTGTACTAATTTTGGTGTTGGCTATAGATCATTAATATTTATTGTTTTTTCTTTATTTTATTATATCGTATACTTTTTAATTTTTAATAGTTCTGCCATAATGACATATTCTTTTCTTTTACTTTTATAACACATTTCCTCTTTTTGACACATTTTTCGATCATTTGATCATTATTTTTATTTATAATTTTTCTCAAAATTAGATTTGACATGACCATGACTAGTTAAAATGAAGTTCATTTGTTATCTTGTTGATCTTCTCTACTTTGGACTATTCGACTGTATTTGGATATGTGATTTACGTTCGTGGATAGTTTTCTTACGTCACTTGATTTTGATTTACGTTTTGTCGGTAGTCTTTTAATAACTTAATATCTTTTGTGGTTTATTTGTCGATGCAATCAGATATGTTCGTATCTACATTTTATTCGAGTTTATTTGGTTTGGTTCTTAACTAGGGATGGACCTAGGCGGGGCAGTCTTAAAAATATAAAATTACAATATATTTAAGATTTTTTCTATATATTTTCTATTGAAAATATGTTTTCACCCCATTAAAATTTTATAAATTCAAGTTCGCTCCCCAACATAAAACCTTACGTCCGTCTATATTCTCAACTTTTTCCTTCTATGTCCTTGTGTGATCTTAAGTGCTTAATTTATTGTGTTAATGAATATAGAAAATTATTCTTATTATGTGTTTTAATTTAGGGGTGTAGTTGTAAACTTTCATTATAATTTAGATTTGTTTTCTATTTTTAATGATTTTATCTTGCCAAAAAAATATTTAAAAATTTAATTTATTGTTGTATAGTGAAAATTATATAAAATTAAAGAAAAATATTAAAATCATTAATTACGCACTCTCGAAATTAATATAAATTAAATTATTCTTTTTCCAAAGGACCTATGAGCATGGGCGCGTCTAAAGGGGCATGCACGGAGGTGGTCCTGAAAAATGAAAATAATAATAATAATAGTTTAAGTCCCTTAATAATTGCAAAGTTTTAAGTAACACAATGGTGAACTGGTCTTTGACCAAAAAAAATAAACTTCAGTTTAATCCCTTCAAAAATCATAAAGTTCTCCTGAGTACAATTACGATTAAATCATTTAAATTATAACAATCCTTAACAAAATTTATTAATGGATAAGTTTAAATTAAAATAATTTTAAAAAATTTAATTCAAAATTCATTTAAAATGAAATTAGAATATATACATTCGAATCCTCCATCTTAATTTTATCTAAACTTCATTGTCGTATTAATTTTTCCTTTTCTATTAGTGCTTTTCATATTGACACGTGCTGGTTTGTTAGTAGAGCACAAATATATTGACACATGCTTCCATAACTGAAAGCGTAAGATACCTTGAGCAACAAGCTAACTCTTTTTAAAATACAGAACCAAAATTTAACTCGATTGATTCAACATTTAACTCTTTTTTTATATTATATGTATGCGTCTGACGGTTGTTTTCTCTCTCGATATTTATAAATTTCTTGGATATTCAAATTCGAATATGTACACGAAACTCGAACATGAATGAATGAGCCCCGTGGACGGTTTCTTCATGCAAAAAGTATGACATCCGCAATTTTAGCAAGTTTTAGGGTTTTGATGTTGCATGAAACTGTTTTTTGTACTATTGAGGGCTGTTTTTCATGTTCACGTAACCCATTTTGCATTAAAGGAAAGGTAAATTTGTTGAGTGGGTTGATAGATTCGAATGCCTGCACAAAAGGAAAGAGAACTCTTCACGTAATTACAATGGCGGCACATGGCGTTGGTTATATGTTTCATCCTGCCGAAGCTTTGATGGAAAACACCAATCTTTGAATCGATGGCGTCTTGGACTCGAGTTTTCAACGACGGGAAGCCGTTTCTGGCTATGGTTTCGATGCAGTTGAGTTATGCGGTGATGTCGATAGTTGCTAAATGCGCGCTGAATAAAAAGATGAGTCCTCATGTACTGGTAGCTTACCGGTTGGCAGCCGCCTCTGTTCTCATTACTCCGTTCGCCCTTGTTTTAGAAAGGTCTGTTTTTCTCTGTTTTGAGATCGGTTTTGGTTCGGGAAAGTTACTGTCATGACTTGGTTCTATTGCAGGAAATCGAGACCGAAGATGACATTGAGTATCTTTGTCAAGATAATGCTGATCAGCTTACTCGAGTAATCTGGCATCCGTCACGTTTTTACGGTTCGCATTATAATCGGATAGTCATTTGATGAATTAATACTCTGCGTGTAGGCCGGTGCTCGATCACAACTTCTTCTATACCGGGATGAAGTATACGACGGCGACGTATACGGCTGCCATGTGCAACATTCTTCCTGCCTTAACCTTTGCATTGGCTTGCATCGTCAGGTAATGTCCTACATGGTTTCAACTTCTTCTTGTTTCTTGTATGAATTGTTGTGATGATGGTTTTATTAGGCTCGAGAGAGTGAAGATCGGGAAGGTGCGTAGCCAAGCAAAGGTGGCTGGGACGGTGGTGACTGTTGGAGGAGCAATGATGATGACTCTTATCAAGGGGCCTAATCTAGAATTGCCGTGGACAAAGGGACGGAACCACCACATTGGTCGATCTGGTACGAGCGAAGATCACAAGCAAGATCTAATGATCGGTGCTCTTATGCTCATTGCAGGCTGTTGCTGTTGGGCTTGTTTCATCATTTCTCAAGTAAGAACTCGTTAATCTTTCGCCTCGATTCTCACACGAAATCAAAAGCTAAACAGAACCCGAAACCGGCACTTAAACAGGCAAGGATCCTAAAATCATACCCGGCTAAGCTTTCCCTTACTGCTCTCATATGCATCACGGGCACGGCGGAAGGCACCCTTCTTGCATTAGTCGCGGAATGGCGCAATCCATCAGTCTGGCGAATCCAATTCGACATCAAACTCGTTGCTGCTGTCTACGGCGTAAGATTTGACTTTCGAGCACATGAAACTGCCTCGAGTGTCATATCTCAATACTGATATTAAGGGGTGAGTTCTATGTGCAGGGGATGGTGACTGCATTCGGCCTATATACAATGGGGTCGGTAATGAAAGTAAGGGGTCCGGTTTTCGTGAGCGCTTTCAATCCGTTAGGCATGGTCATCGTCGCGATTTTAGGCTCCTTGTTCTTAGCCGAAGAAATGTACCTAGGAAGGTTTGAATCAATCTCTCTCCGATATCATCGAACCAAATAATCTACGCAATTTCGAAGTTTTCTTGACTATGATACTTGTTTTGCAGAGTAATCGGCAGCATTGTTATCGTAACCGGCCTATATCTAGTCTTATGGGGTAAGAGCAAGGACCAACCTCAACCGAGGTCGGAAGGCACGGTGGCGCGAGCCGATCGGCAAATGGATACTATAATGGTCACATAGAGAATCCTGATCCTGAATCTATTACCATAGAAAGATGACTTGAGACGTACGGAAAGTTTTTCAATTTTTGGTATAAAAAACACTAGAAATCAACCACAAAGACAGACATGATGAAGATTGATTAATTGATTGAAAAATCTAATCTAACTGATTGCTACTTCAACATTGGATTAAATATCTTCATCATCTGGTTTTATTTTAGTCAAGATTTCAGATTCGAGCCATCGGAATAAGATCATGAATAATGGCAAAATATTGAAAGCCTAATTTATATATTTGCCTTGAACCACTAAAATCTCATAAACGAGCATCGGTACAAATCATCGTTAATGGAAACACCAACATTCAAGGATCGATGTACTTATTGTTTGCCCCATTAATTGCAAAATATATTAATTATGTCCTTTGAAACATATGTTCGCTTTTTACACAATAGATAATATTGCATGAACATTTTGATGCCAACTTGGTTTCTTAAATGTCACAGTTTGTGTCTTAGATATTATTGTTAGGGGTGAGTATTCGTTTTATTCGAGTTAAATTTTTTTAAGTTAATCGAGTTGACGAGTCTTATTTTATAACTTCAATTTTATTTGATTTTTTTAGTCGAGTCAAGTTTATGAAATTTGAGTTGAGTCGAGTTGTTTGAGTTTATATTTAAATTTAATTATAAAAAATATAATGTTATGGTAATATTTAATTCCAATTTATATAGCCGCCCACATATAATACACATATATATTTTTTCATATGTGATATACATGTCATATCATGTAGAGTTGAGGGGCTCGACTCGACTCAAACTTGAAAATCAATCCACTAATTACTAAAAATTTTGAATTATTCAAGCTTTATTTTATAACTCATCTCGAATTTGAATTTTTTTTAGTCGAGTCGAGTTTATAAAATCACGAGCCGAACCAAATCAAATTAAGTTTTTCATCGTTAAATCAAGTAAAAAAGTTTTACTTTTTCGAGTCGAGTTCCGCTTTATTCATCCCTAAATATTGTTTAGTATACAATCTCTTGGAATTCAAATGGTTGGCACAACAACCAGGCCCTTCCACTTTATCAATGCAAGAAATTGAAAGCTCAACTTCCCCTATATGGTCTATCCAACTTTTATATTTAAGAATAACTGATGAATCCGTCAGCTATCAAACCATATTATAGGGATCTCATTTATAAATTAATAAGTTTACAGAAGTTTCATCACCTCCGAATAATAACTGGAACTTCTAGTGTGTTCCCTGATCACACGAATATTTTCTCTGATTTCTGTTCTGATCTCTGATCTCTGTTCTGATTTCTAATATCCCTATTTACTAACTGAAATTATTTTTATAGGGGGGTATTCCGGGACTCTGGTATAACTGAAGACTCTGGCAGGTTCAGTCGATGCTGGTAATTCCTTGTATAGGTTCAACACCAATTGATAATCCCTTATGGACCTAAGGCAACCCTTGGGTAGGCTCTGAGGCCCCGAGAACTTTCTTGGGTAGGCTCTTAGGCCCCAAGGTGCTCCCTTAGGTTATGTGGTTATGGGGAACTGTATATTAGCGTTCGATTGAAGGGTTTTTCCTATGACTTTTGAAAAATACGTTTTAAACTGCTACAGTTTTAAAAAGTGGTTTTGTGGGAACACACTAGACACCCTGTTTTAATCTCCTAAACCTAGTCCTCTGAATGTTTACTCTGAACTAGAAGTTTCATGTCTTTTACTATCTGAGATATCAGTAGGACCTCAGCTCAGTCTAAAAATCTGTAGATGTCTGAAACAATAAGGAAAATTATGTTGACCTATTATCTGAATGTCCTTCAGCATCATTTGCTAGTATTGTATTACTGAGCTTCCCAAAGATCACTATGTTACTCACTATTTCAGGTCAAAAAGGATTGAAGCAGTGCAACTATTGACATCAGTAAAGGAGTTCCATCGGCATTGCTTGTGGAGAACGGCGCATGTGATTAGGGGGCATGTAGGCTTTATTTTGTTTTATATACGAGTCTGAAGTCTGCTTTATTTCTGAATACTGGTAAATTTTACTTTTGTATTTATAAATTGTTTTTATGATTTTACATGTTTTAACAAAAATTTTAATTTTCAGGATTTTTACAGTGGGTCGCTCTGGTGGCCATAATGTGAAACCTCGGATCGGATCGGGCCACCTGCATCGGTTCTTGGGTATTACAAGTATAAACAAAATATTTACATTGGGGAGCTCCCAAAAATATCTCAAAAGAATATACATACCAATTTTTCAAATAAGTTACGACTCAACAAACAGGGTCAATAATTATGCATGCCCTCTAAAGACTTGAGACGTATTCTGCTCAGAATTCAGTCTGGATCGAGGCTGCTCCAAAAGGCTCTTCAAAAGCTCCACCTACTAATCTGCGTAAGGAAACAAATTCAAAACGCTGAGCTAACTAGCCCAATGCCACACTAACAACTAATTCATGCTAAAATGAAATCAGTAAATGCTCAAGTTATGAAGTCTACTCTATGGTAGACATCATGGTATGGCTGAGGGCTCTGCATCTCAGAGCTCACGCACCCCTCTAGTCTATTGAGGATAAAACCTGAAAATCTACATCGGACATAATACCCTAAACTAACCCACCCTTTGCGAGTGTCGGACCTTGCACCCTAGTTAGTCAGTTTAAAGTGCCTTGAGCACTACCTAAGGATATCCGAACTGATTCTAAATGTCGATACTAGTATCACTTACTAAAGTAACCCATGTGTCCTGATTGTTTCCTGAGTATTTAAACAAGGCTAGTTTTATGTCATCCTAAAAGGTTCTTGTTCTAGATTCAATTAATTATTTTGGTTCTCACTTATAGTTGTATTATAAATTCCCTTATTTATAAGCAAACTATAAGTTCACAACCATTCGTACACCATTCTGAGCCTATTTGGCCAATTTTAGGTATGGGTTTCGAAACCAGCATAAGGGGTTTAGAAACTTCAACATACGTTTTTACAATCTGGCCAGGGGTTTTGAAACCTCCCATTGGGGTTTCGAAACCTATACAAGTTTTTACATTTTGAACAAATAGTTTCGAAACAAGTCAGGGGTTTCAAAACTTCTACTGCAAATGGAAAATTTTTGCACGTTTAAACTCTTCAAAACCCTCAAAAACCACCCTAACATTTTCAATTGATCATTATAAGTTTAAACATGAAAGAATGGATCATAAAGTGGCTTTAAACAAGTTAGATAACATCAAATGTTAGAATTTACCATGGATGATCATACATGCTTCCCAACTCCACTTTCAAACTTGAAGGCATTCTAAAGACTTACAATTGATATGAAAAAGTTGTAAATGGGTTACTCGGTGATTCTAGCTGTTGGGACTTCTTTCAAAATCAACCAATGGTTAATTTCTTTTCCCTAGCTTTAGAGTTTTCCCCTACTTCCTTTTTCTAGATTAAAGCAAGAAGATGAATTATTAACCTATCTAGGGCTTAGATTAGAGTTAAGAACACTCTAAATAACTTAAATTCGCTGAAAAACTAGCTTGGATCACTAGATTCCTGTAAACCTCCCTAAAACCCATTTCATGAAACCACCACCAAAACTTGAGATATGGGAATTAAATTGAAACTTAAAGGATATGGATTAATATTCTTACCTTGGATGACTCAAACTAGGCTTAAAATTTCAAAAGATTCCACCTTTAAGCCTTAACCTTGAGAGGAGAAGAAAAAAGAATGATGAAGAGAAATGAATAGTGTTTGGGAAGAATGAAGGGGAGGGGTTCACTTGGGTCACCTAAATAAGAATGGGTTTCCCATCTTTTAACTTAAGCTATGGATAAATAACAGTTTTGTTTTTTCTTCTTTAACTCTTATTTAAAATCTTCGCCAAAACATATGCTCTTAGGCCCAACTTAAGCCCAACCCCAACTCACATTGGTTCAAACTATTCTTAGGAGGTCTAATGGGATCAACCTAGGGGTCTCGAGTTGACCCGAATTACTGATATGAGATTTAGGGCATTACAATTTGTGCTTACATATATGAAATTTTTTAAGGTGATCAATGGCATCTTGAGCTCAATAAAACTTCTTGTTTTATTGCTGAAAGTTTTGATGCCGGAGACTTTCAATCAGTTTAGACCTATAAGCCTTTGTAATGTAGTCTATAAAGATTTAACAGAGATAACTGTAAATCATTTAAAGCCGTTACTTCCATGATGGGTGTCAGAGAATCAGACCAGTTTCGTGTTAGGTCAATCGATTGTGGACAACATTATAATCACACATGAGGTTATTCATTTGATGAAAAACAAGACATGTCATAAGGGTTGGATGCCTATTAAGATTGATTTTAAAAAGGCTTATGCTCGATTAGAATGGGCATTCATTGATGATATGTGTAACTCCCTATATTTGGTCATAACATCTAGGCCGAGTCTAGGGGGTTACACCTGGTGGTATCAGAGCCTTCAATTTTAAACACTTGGACTGCAGATGAGTCCTAAAATCTGAATTTTCAAGATATTTTATATATTTTCAAAAATTGTGTCACCTTATTTTATGAGTTTTAAATATAGTCGAGATTCCTGATACTAGTCTAACTTAGGTTCAAATTCTTTCTGTAGAGCCTTGTAGATTTATCCAATGAATGCTGCTAGAGGTCGAAGGCCAGGCTGTGGCCGTGGTCGAGGGTGAGCGACTCGACCTTCTGTTACGATAGACGATCCGATGTCACCTCGAGATCCTTCTGTTCTACATGTAGGCCCGTCTATTTTTTGTGATGATCCTGTTACACCTGCTAGAAACCCTCTTGTCACTAAGGACGAGGACACTGATTTGGATGAGGATGTCATTAATAGATCTATCTTTTGTATGTTCCAGAGAGCTGCTAGAGTCCCTGATAATATGTATGTGGTCAAGATTTTGAAGTCTTTGGTAGATGCTGGAGTAGTTCCGTTCGAGGGCATTACTAGAGGACCTCCGACTGATGCTGAGTATTGGTTGGAGGTTACAAAGAGGATTATGGATTAGATGGATCTGAGACCTGAGCAG